TTTATTTTGTTGCAATTCTTAAACTGAAATTGGAGTAGCAATTCACACATAGTTTCCACTTTACAGAAGCACAAACATTTAATGCAATTCGTACTTCATGCTTCATGAAATTCAGGAAATCATGAACACAACACAGCCATTTTTTGCTTCATGCTTCATGAGAACAAGCTGGATAGCTAGGGTTCTGATTGCAACTTACCCAAGCATGCGAGGGGCTAGCTCGGGAGCCTTCAACAGAGAAGACAAGAGGATTGCGGAGCTCCCTTGCAGCCCCAGACCGTGGAATCAGCTCATCGGCAAGAATCGGGGGCGATTTGGCCTGCCTGCTGCTGGATGGAGCACCGGAGCTTCGATCCATGGCGGCCGACAACATAGACCGCACTATGTGGTGAGCTGCCATCGCGTGGGATGGTGTGCACCGACAATGTTGCGTCGGCGGCGGCGATGGTAGAGGCGGTGTACGTGAGAGGGCAGTGTCGCCATGGATCTCCTCCTCGCCCTGGCCTCGGGCGGGTGCAGGGATTTTGTTTCCAACTTCAACGGTTGCAGCAACACGGGGGAGGCAACGGACTAACATCCTTGCTGACACATGGCTCGAATACGACGGTTGCACGTACTTAAATCCGACGGTTGTTTAGGAGAGTGTTAAGTGGTGGTTTAGCAGGCGGATGACGCCTAACAGCTGCCATATAAAATTGGAAATGCAATACTGAATACCATCAACGAAACCAATGCACGTCAGCGAAAGGGCCGTACAAGGGAAATCCAGAACATATCAGAAGATTCTAACATTCTATTATGCTTGAGTTGATAAATGATGCCAAGTAGTATATGCTTCCACGTTCAAATATATACAAGTACAACTATAACAAATATTCATTTTCCACAACATATTCGAATAGATGATACACTACCTCACGCCTCACATAGATCATATTAAACTAATACATTATGTTCCCCTAAAAAAACCTAATACATAATATTCCATCATACAAAGAAGAAACATATCAGAAGATTCTACCCTTCCATTCTTTCAACTTCCTAGCCACATTGGAGATTGGGTTCATTTCTGCAAACTTTGAATCCATATTGGGATAAAAATAAATGAAATCTTGTGTCATTGTGGCCATTACATCAGAATGAGAATGACAGGAACTGGTAAGAAGTTCATTCCCAGTGCCATGTTTACCATGAGCCATAAGTTTGAAATCCTCGTAGCACCCACAGTATGTTTCATCACATGGATGCACAATCTTCGCCCCATTAAACTCGCAAGAGAAACATCGAGCTTGCATGAAAATAAACAAAAACAATTAGATTATTAAGTACTTTTATGATATCTCTTACAACCATGTTAGAACATCACTGTACATTATCAGTGTTTTTATAATCTGGAAGTTAATTATTATCATCATATACTCCCTCCATTATGAAATACAGTATATGACATTTAAGCAGTTCAAATTGAACTGCTTAAACGTCATATATTTCGTAACGGAGGGAGTACGTCTTAAGAAACATTCTTATCATATAACTATAAAAAGCAGTAAACATCTCTGATGTACAGATCATGACAATAACTATTTGTAGAGAGAAACAGAAAAGAAAATGTAGTTCTATTTGGCCAGGTTTTCTAAAGCTCTATTATCTCTTTATTAATAATGCAGCATCCATGTTAAACCATGTCATCTTTGAAATAAACAGCCATCAGATTGAGTTAATTATAAATCCAAAGCCTTGGGTTATACTCCCTCCGTCCCAAAATAAGTGACTCAAAAGTGAGTCAACTTTGTACCGTCCCAAAATAAGTGACTCAAAAGTGAGTCAACTTTGTACTATTTTGGGACGGAGGGAGTATAAGAGACATCTTCTGTAAACATATGGAAGTTAAACGAACAATAATATGTCAACGCCGATGATACATAGGCAACTGCCTTTTCTTCAAACCGTCATCAGTGTTCTCTCACATATACCAATTTCTTCCCCTGGGAACTAAGAACCGGAGAGCAAAATAGTGTTAAGGTCTGAACTACGAGATGGTCAGCGCTGACGCTGGTGCACATGCATGGCAAGTGCGTCCATCTGCTGGCAACTCACATGGGAGATGCTCATCTGCTAAGTTTTACACTCTCATCATGCACAAGGGGGGCTTAACTAATCATGGCTGCATCCGTCCATCGCTGCAAGTGAGAGTCCACTGACAACATGGTTGCACTGCCAGATATTTCTTTTGCCCACGTATATTGGCTAATCGACTGTGATAAATTTTCCGTTTGAGTTTTCAGAAAAACAAAATTTAATTCATTGCACAAGCCACCAAATACCAGTGCGTACATGATAAGAGAGAGCTGAGAGCATTACCATTATCTATAGAAGAATCCGATACAGGGGTGCACCAGGATGGTCTCTCCTGCATCTCTTTGATACTATTGCTACATTGAGCAAAGAACAGTTCTGGAGCTGCGACAGCAGAATTTGGCGCTGTTGCCAAAAAGTTGATATGGAAGTATTCAAATTGGAATTTCTTCTTAACGAGAGCAACGCTTGGTCCATCTGGTACCCTAGGATTCACGTCACAAATGATATGAAGTTTATAGTGCACCTATATGTAACACAGCAGAAGAGGGCATCCGATAAGGCGATAAGTGAAAAAAGGACTTGAGCAGATGGAAGTAAACTGGTGCACATTATTAGAATTAGAATTCAAAAGCAAGAAAACAAAAAAGAGAAACCAATGCACCAACCACTTTTCGCTGAGAGTAGTCGCTCAATACCGCCTTGACCTTTCTGACAAAGAAGTTTTGGTCGCGCCTAAACTTTTTCCGAAACTCTGAAATGAAAATTTTCTGGTTCTTGCTCAAGACCTGTGAGCTTGAGGTCACCTGGTTCGGTTGCTGAGCCTGCTCCTGGGACTTGGTAGCTGGAGATTTATGTGGCAGAGCCATGGTGAGGCATTCGACTCCGTCGTTGGTAAGTGTGCCCTGTAATAGTGCTAACAACTTGGCAGACTCCATGTTCAATGAAGACGTAGCAAATTTGACCAGCTCATCAGGGTCATCGTGCCATGAAACAACCGCCGCTTGCATATAGGCGTCCTGGTAATTGCCAGGCACATGATGACCATGCTTCTTTACCTCACGGATGGCCTTGTGTACATCCGCACCGCTCCTGAACAAATACCAGATGGCGTCGTGCTCTGTGAGTTCAGGGGCACAGGTGCGAAGGAAGGTAACAAGGCCGTAAAGGGAGCAGCACTCGATGCGTGCAAGCATGCGTGTGCATATCATGTCCACCTTAAATTGCAGCTCGAACTTGTGGGGCGTGGGGAACATAGAGCCGTACCAGATGGTGTTGAGGATGATGTTGGAGACAGGATCCCTGGGGCCATAGCAGTATCCACCCCTCAGGAGGCTGCAGTGGTGATGCCTGCGCAGGCCGTCCCGGGGCAGCTTGGCAAGTGCCTCTAGGTAGTGCCCATGGATCTTGCCGAGGAGCAAAAGCTTCAGAGCCAGCGTGTATCTGAATGTCAACTGAGGACCGACACTCTTCTTATGTGCCCTACTCCCCTCTGTGGATTCTGATGTCTGTCGGCTTCTCTTTCTCTTTTTATTGTTGTCCTTCTCATTAACACGAAGATGATCCAGTGATACGTTGATGAGATCCATGCCCGTAGGGCCTTGCCTGAGCAGCTCGGCGAGGCTCTCGAGGGTTGCAGGCGAGAGAGGGCCTTGTCCAGTCAAAAGCATGGAGACATCGCGAGAGGCCATAGTCAGCGACGCTTTCACCAGGACATCTGGTTCAGGATGCCTTGCAGACACAGCAGCACATTCCAGAGCGACCTTGTTGGTAGAGGAGGTAATACTGAACACATTGCGCCTCTTGTTACGATCCCGCTCGATGAGGCGCACAGCGGTGAGAAGATCGGCCCTGGCCAGGAGCAGGTAGCTCATGGCTTCCCTGCTGATGAGGTAGCGGTAGTGGGAGGTGAGGAAGCTGACAAGACCGTCCAGCGACCGCCGCGCGAGGGTCATGCCATGGGCATTTTGCCGGGAAAGCGGTACTCTGAAGACAGACTTGTCGTTCGTGTCGGTGATGATCTTGGAGAGGATCCACTCCGACGACGGCGCCTCCTCCTCCTGGTCGGATCCAGGCGTCGGTGAAGGGGTGTAGGCGATGGTGTTGGCGATGATGTTGGAGACTGGGTCGAGGAAGCCGATGGGCATGCCGGCCTTGAGGAGGCGCGGGACCAGTGAGGGAATCGCCGCTATCGGCAGCAGATCGAGCGCCTCCCTGTAGAAACCGATGTAACCAAGCAGATCGCTTATATCCTGCTTCTCATCGGTTAAGACGGAAAGACAACGGTCGCCGATGCGACGGTCACGCTTGCCATGCATGTCGACTTGCTTTCCTCGCCGGCGGAAGTGCCTTGTTCGTGCGGTTTCTTGTGGGCGTGGGTGAGGGGATTGTGGAAGGAGGAAGGCAGCCGGTAATGTTGCGGGGAAGACGACCTAGGGCATCCACGTATCGCAGACGTCCACTCTAGCATAGTTGATGATCTTTTTCAATTTGGCGAACCTTTTTTTATACCAAACTTTTTTTTGGATTTGATGAACTTTTTTAAAATTCAATGAATTAATTTTTTTTAAATTTGATGAATCTTTTTCAACGTCATGAACTTATTTGACGTTTGTGAATTTTTTTTCAAATCCGCGGAATTTTTATTTTATTTTATTTTTTCAAAGGTCAATGGTTGACTGGTCAACATGATTAAGTGATCATGGGAAGCTAGTTGATCACTCGCCTTCTTCTTGGGACTACTAGGCATCAGACTACCGATGTCTTGCATTTTATCAGATTAGTCTATAGCCATTGGATTAGATAAATAGGAGACGTCCGATTGTGTAGCCCACACAGAGTTATTTGGCTTCCTGAACTAATTACGTGCTTCCTCATAATTGCTTCCGTGAAGCATGTCTAGTATTCCGTGAACCAAGGGGAAATACCATAACTGATGCATGAAAAGGGGCATATAGATAGCACGCTTGTTGCTAGCCCCTTGCATCCGTATCGGTAATCCCTTCATCCTGATGCATCCAAACTACCTGCTTTCTGCTTCGATTAATGCTTCGAAACCTAGCCCCTTGCATCCGTATCGGTAATCCCTTCATCCTGATGCATCCAAACTACCTGCTTTCTGCTTCGATTAATGCTTCGAAACCACAAATATGACACATCTGATTTGCTTCCAGCGCAGCAAAATTACTGCCACAATATTCCTGTCTTATGAACAGAGATATTTTGTTTCCAAAGGAACGTGCCACTTTTTTCATGGAATAAAGCAACGAAATATTTTTTTACATCAACTATAGAACAGCTTCATATGGTATAAAAAATTGTTCAGAGCAAATAAAAATGTGTTTTCACTTTCACAATTATATGTGCTTCAAACAGAATATGAGGTGTTCCCAAAGAAATATAATTTTGCTTCTAACGAATGGAGGATATGCTTCCATGGTGAATGTGAAGCACTACACCATGTACCGCGGCGGCACAAAATACACAAGCCTGGTGGGACATATTCCCTTTGCGTCGGCACACTAGTTGTCGTGCCGCTCAAAAGTTGGGCATGATTACAGTGCCATCAAATCAGATTAGCGGGGTATGTATACAAAGATTAATCATAATGCCGTCTTACAGATGTGGTATTTTTTTCCTGAAAAAAATGTTGCAACGCTTCCAACAGTGTAATGCTTCTCATGTATGTCATACTAGCAAATTACCTATGTTTCTGACTTTTTTGCTACATTCTTCCTATTTGTAGAATACCATTCTTGGTTTCATGGCACTATATATTGCCACTGCCATTCAACTAGGCTTCCAACAATATTGTTGCATGCTTCCTGTCTATTATACTAATGTTTCTTCCCCAAACGATATACACTTCACTTAGTAATCGTGTACGCTTTCATTAGTTCTGCTGCTTGCTTCATATGTAGCTTGTTAGAGTTTTGAATTCGTAGTATGCTACGTCATCAACAAATTATATTTTCAACAGATGTTACATGCTTCATGGCTCCAAAAGAATTGCTTCTTTTCCGCAAAAGAACCGATCAACGATGGTGCAGCATGAGGCGTGCGTGGCGTCGAGTTGAGGAGGTTGTTGTGGAAGGGCAGGAGTCATCTGGTCTAAAATAATCAAAGAAACAAAAATCATGGTTCAGCACTCTTTGAAGCAAAGTGTCCCGGTAATAAACACATGTACGAGAGACTAAGGAAGCATGTAGGATGGTATTGGACAGATCCTGAAAATAAGAAGCATACTCACGTACGAGACCTATCAATTAGCAGCGGCATGGGGTGAAGTTGTCGCCTCATTCAGGGCATCCCCTGATGTCATCTGGCCGCACATCACACACAACCCATGCGAGCACCAAGCACAACCCATCAGACTGGTCACACAAGGATGCACCAAGGTTGGTGGAGGATGGAAGAGGGCGCTGCTAGTGGATCATCAAGTGGCCACCTGATGACGGGATGAAACACCTTGGAGCATGGCGCACCGGCGTCTTGTGTCTCACGGTCACATGGGTGGGGGCTGGTTCCTGGCAGGGAGGTGAGATCGGCGTCGTAGGAGCCTGCGATGGAGATGAGGAGGAGCAACGGGGTAGGTGAGGTTAGTGCGGGAGGGATCGATCTCATACGCGGACGCAAAAGGTTCGGAACCTATAGCCGGAGACGAGTCCATTGTTCCGGTGACACAGATGTCACTTGAAGTTAGGTCTGTGTGCAGCTCCAACGCCGCGGAGTCTGCGGCTTCCATGGCGGGGTTGAGCTTCCCGTCCTTGGATGGTGCGATCTGCTTCGGATCTAAGGCCAGAGTAGTTACAGGTGCTATCTCCTGGGTATGGTCTGATGACAGATTTACGTCATGTTCATCGTGGTGGCGGGGAGCGGGTGCCGTGGTCTCGAATCCGTCGAAAATCAAGTCTTCGTGGATATCAGCGGCGTAGTTTAAGCTTCCAAATCTGACCTGATGGCCAGGGGCGTAGCTTTCGACCTGCTCCAGATGGCCAAGTGAATTGGCCCGCAGTGCGAAGCCGCCGAACACAAAGATCTGCCCGGGGAGGAAGACTTCTCCTTGAACATCATTGTTGTAGATGATTGAAGGGGCCATCAAACCTTTTGAGGACGACACAGTGGAACTCTCAATGAAAGCACCAATGTCAGTGTCAAAACCGGCGGATCTCGGGTAGGGGATCCTGAACTGTGCGTCTAAGGTCGATGGTAACAGGAGACATGAGACACAATGTTTACCCAGGTTCGGGTCCTCTCTATGGAGGTAATACCCTACTTCCTGCTTGATTAATCTTGATGAATATGAGTATTACAAGAGTTGATCTACCTCGAGATCGTAATGGCTAAAACCCTAGAAGTCTAGCCTGTATGACTATGATTATGATTCTTGTCGTCTACGGACTAGGCCCTCCCGTTTATATAGACACCAAAGGGGACTAGGGTTGTACAAAGTCAGTTACAGAGAAATGAATCTTCATATTTGGACGCCAAACTTGCCTTCCACGCCAAGGAGAGTCCCATCCGTACACGGGAGAGAGTCTTCGGTCTTGCATCTTCACAACCCATTAGTCCGGCCCATGTCCAACAGGCCGGACGCCCGAGGACCCCCTAGTCTAGGACTCCCTCACCTTTAAGCTAACCTAGTGCGATGGCTCCACACCTAAGTCCTTTCAATAGGGCATCTGCCATGTTAAATCCACGACACCAAGGCTGTCGGTGTAAGCCTCACTTATCCATTATTCCTGCCCACCAGTACTTGGACATGTTTGTTATAACTTAGTGGCACAAACTTTTTGTGAGCTTGAAACATCTCATAGAGTAGGCTACTAAATCTTGGACCATTGTGAAAAGATCGATATGGTTGACTAGAGGGGGGTGAATAGGCAATGACCAATCTTTAGCTTTTCTTAAGATATGTCACAAGCAACCTATATGATGCTAGCAACCTATATAATAAACAAATAGGTTGTCTAGATATGCAACTAGGCAAGCAACCTATATGATGCTAGCAACAACAACCACACAAGCAAGCAAAGTATACAACACAAATAAAGCTTGTACAAAGTAAAGGTAAGAAGTAACAACAAGTGGAGCCGGTGAAGATGAGGATGTGTTACCGAAGATTCCTCCCTTTGAGAGGAACTACATCTCCGTTGGAGCGGTGTGGAGGCACAGTGCTCCCCAAGAAGCCACTAGGGACACCATATTCTCCTCACGCCTTCACACAATGCGAGATGTCGTGATTCCACTAGTCGTGCCCTCGAAGGCGGTGACTGGACCTTTACAAACAAGGTTGGGGTTCTCTCCACAACCGAATTGGAGGCTCCCAACACCACCACGAAGCTTCACCACAATGGAATATGGCTCCGAGGCGACCTCAACCGTCTAGGGTGCTCAAACACCCCAAGAGTGATAAGTTCCTCAAGGGATTAGGGGGAATCAAATTTCCCTTGGTGGAAGTGTAGATCTAGGCCTTCTCAAGCAATCCCTAAAGAATCAACAAGTTTCATTGGCTAGGGAGAGAGATCGGGCAAGAACGAGCTTGTGAGCAACAATGGAGCTTTTGGGAGGAAGAGGTAAGTCAAGAAGATGACTCCCTTATATAGTGGGAAGAAATCCAACCGTTATGCACCCACAACCCGTGCACAAGCGATAGTACCGCTCAGGCAAGCGGTACTTCGGCTGGCACGGAAGTTCTGGGCACATAGTTCAAAACTGAACTAGTCAGGGGCGATAGTGCCGCCAGAGCGGTACTACCGCTCCCAGCAGTGGTACTATCGTGTGGTGTTGAACAGTTGTCGGAACCCGTGGTAGTAGAGGAGGGCAGGGTGGTAGTGATGCCTTGGATGGTACTACCGCAACCAACTGCCGCTCTACTTCCGCGCAGGGGAAAGAGCATTCCAGAACACAAATTATAAGCGGTACTTCCAGCGAAAGTAGACAACGGTAGTTACGCCGGAGCGGTACTACCATGTCGCGGAGCCGTACTTCCGCTTAGCTTCTGCAAGTCCAGTAAACCAATGGTAGTGGAGCAGTTTGGGGCGAAGTACCATCGGGGTAATACTACCGCGCTAAACTGCCGCCCTACTACCACCCATTTATAGAACGAAAAATATAGGCGGAAGTAGGAGACGTACTGAACTGCGGTAGTACCGCTGGAGCGATACTACCACTGGTTAAGGCGGTACTACTGCTTAAGTTGTTCTGAAAAGTCCAAGCAAGAAGGAACAATAAGCACATTTGCATGGAAAGGAAATAGGGTGTAGAGGACTGTGTACGTGTTGATTCCACCCAAACCTTTCCGAAGTGGACCCCCTCT